TTTTTAACAGGTTATCAAACATTTTGTTATTTCCTTCTATTCTAAAGGGCCATGTATATGGGAAAATAAAATACTCCAAGAAGCAGATTTAAAAAGAGATATTTGATTTTCTTACCTGGAAAAAAAAATCAGATTCAATCAAAATAATTCCTGGTTATTTTCTCTGTGTTTTTCACTAAATTCTGAAATCAGCCTTCTGAGTTGTGTTTCACTTGCCTCAAGCCTAGACTTATAAGAGGGGAAATAGAAGCTTAGAAACAATAAATAACTATCTTAAGTTCACTGAGCTATTCAGTAATGTAAATTAGTCTGGATAGGTTAGATTATTCTGTGAGAATAGATAACCCCTGAATCTTCACTTATTTAAAACAAGACACATCTGTTTCTCACTTATGGCACAGTGCAATATAGGTTGGAATACTTTCCCATCATATGACTGCAGCACACGGAACACACAACTTTGAAGGACAGCTTTGGTCAGGAGGAAGAAAGATAGATGGTGAGGCACAAAGGCCCTTATCTGCTTAATTTTAAACAAATGCCTTCCATAGTCCTTCGCCAGGACCTGGAGGCACTCCGATGACTACCCTCACCCAAAAGGAGGTTAGGCATATGCAAAATTCAATAAGTAGTGTTTACGCTATGCCACGAGACAAATTGAATTCGGATTATTAAAATCCCAAGCTCTTTCGTCAACATCACATTGTACTTTAATAATTTTAGCTTCAGTTAATAATGAAATTGTTTTGGTGTTGCATTGCACAGTAGGTTGTCAATTGATAATGATAATGCTCTGCACATTTTTCTGAAAAACTGGCAAAAATATTTTTAATGTATTCACCATACAGAAATAGTAATAATTGAGGAGACAGATATGTTTAACCTGATTTGGACATTACACAGTGCACACATGTATTAGACCCTTACATGGTATTCTATAAAAATGTACAGTTTTTCTGTCAGCTAAAAATCTTTTTAAAATAAATATTTTCAGGACTCCTTTAACAAATGAAAATTTACAGTCTTCTATCTCATAAATGTAAATAAATAAACAGACATGTATAAATGATAATGTTAATATAAAGGAAGTCTGTACAATGTTTATTGTATTAACATTTTATAATGAATAATTTCTATATATTATTCTCTACAAATACATTTCAATAGATGTACCATTATTTATTGAACATTTCTTTATTGTTGCAGTTTAAATTGCTTCAACATTTTCATGATTATAACTGTGCTGTTGTGTTTCATGTGAAGTTCTTAACTCCACTTCAGAAAGTATTAAAATAGGTTTCTTGAATGGAAATTATTGGGTCAAAGGATATAACAACTTTAAATCTTCTTATAAATATTAGAAAATTTCTTCCAAAAATGTTATACCAATTTTCAATTTAGTAGGTATGCATAAGAGTATGCCTGCCACTGTTTTTTGGAATTTTGTATATACTTCATAATTATCTGATATGAGCCTCAGTTACTGTTCTCTTGTAACTGAGTCATTATTTTTTTCATTCTGTGAATAAAAATAACATACTTTTTTTTATCATGGGCTTTTATTAACTTCCAGTTATATCTCACAATTACAATCCTTCCTCATTCATATAATTTTCACACATGACTTAGACAGTAGTCTTTTTTTAAAAAAGATTTTATTTATTTATTTTTTTAAAAAGATTTTATTTATTTATTTGAGAGATAGAGTTATAGACAGTGAGAGGGAGAGACCGAGAGAAAGGTCTTCCTTCTGTTGGTTCACTCCCCAAATGGCCGCAATGGCCAGAGCTGCGCTGATCTGAAGCCAGGAGCCAGGTGCTTCTTCCTGGTCTTCATGCAGGTGCATGGGCCCAAGCACCTGGGCCATCTTTTACTGCTTTCCCAGGCCACAGCAGAGAGCTGGATTGGAAGAGGAGCAGCTGGGACTAGAACCAGCAGCCATATGGGATGCTGGCGCTGCAGCTAGAGGATTAACCTACTACTGTGCCTCTGTGCCAGCCCCTACACAGTAGTCATGCATTTCTTTATTCCTCTTGTTTCTTCCAATAGTTCCTACATTTATATTGTGTAACAACCATTTTTTTCCTGCATGCCTTATTTTCTCCTTATCCACTCCTATGAATGACATTCCAAATATCAGGATGTCTAGAAACAGAGGGATTCTGATAGTAAGAGGATGGAGGCACAGAGGAATGCAGCTGCAGTGACAGTCTTTAGATCTTTGTATTCAGATGCAAGTGCTTTGAAAATCTCCCAAATGAATTCTGTGTGGGTTCGAACTAAATAGTGTGGTAAAATATCCATGACTGGATTGTAATTTACTTCTTCTTGTAACAAGTTAAATAGCACTCTGAAATAAAGTTAATAGTCCAGCCATTTAGATTATTTTTATAAAATACTGATACAGGGAAAAACTCAAGAATGTCAGGTTCATGATGATTGTGCCTAACTTAGGAAATTGTCTGCTGCTTTTTTATATGAGCTATATTACCAGCCTCCAATCATCTATTTTTAATCTGTTTTATTTAATCAACATAAATGTAGCTTGCCATACCTGTTTTATTGATTTTTGTAACAGATTATTAGTAGACAGAAGCAAAGACAGGTCCTGTTATCCTCTGATTGATGCATTCTTTTACCACATGTGACAAAGTGATAGATGTACTTTGTTAACTTTCTCCAAAATCATTAATGCCACACTCACTGGTTGGCTACTAAGAAACTGTCATGCATTTGCTACCCGAATCACTGCAATACTGAAAAAGGTACCCATTAATTTTCTTTCAACTTCAAAGGCTAGGTTCGAAATGCATAGTTAGAAAAGAAGTGGAAGTATATACTACAGGCTTCAGAGAGATATTGGGTACTGCAAAATTACAACCCAAGCCTTAGATTAAAAAAGGGAGAGTAAATGGATTTTCTCTGAATTTACACTTGGGAAAATTGCTTAAAATGCCAATAAATTTTTTTTTGCGAACGTAATTTAGCCATTGAGTTCTCAGGTGTACATAAGTAGCATCTAAGTTTCAATCTTGAACCCACAAACATGCATAAGCATTAAAAGAAAGTGTTATATAAGGCAAGACTGGAGAGCACAGCATATGTACACACTGAACTAAAAGTAATACTTTTCTAGTTACTAAAAGAATGTAATGAAAAAAATATAATGCTTTAGGAAAGTGGGGAAAAAAGTTACTGACGTAGAAGAATTCCTTCTATTATTAATACTTTAGTGAGGAAATTTAATAATTCTCTTCTATATTTCACATCAATATTTCTCACATAGACATTTTAAGGTATCATTGGATTTTTTCTAATAAAGTAAAAGCTATGTTTTCTCTTTAGCTTTGGACCCAAGATGATTTCTCTGCTAGTGTTAATGAGTTGGTGCTAAAGTATAAGAATCAGCTAGTCAATTGAATATCAAAAGATTTAAAGACTTTAGAATTCTGGCCAGCGCAGCGGCTCACTAGGCTAATCCTACACCTTGTGGCGCCAGCACACCGGGTTCTAGTCCTTGTCGGGGCGCCAGATTCTGTCCCGGTTGCCCCTGTTCCAGGCCAGCTCTCTGCTGTGGCCAGGGAGTACAGTGGAGGATGGCCCAAGTACTTGGGCCCTGCACCCCATGGGAGACCAGGATAAGTACCTGGCTCCTGCCATCAGATCAGCGCAGTGCTGAACCAACGGCAAAAGGAAGACCTTTCTCTCTGTCTCTCTCTCTCTCACTTTCCGCTCTGCCTGTTAAAAACTTAAAAAAAAAAAAAAGATGTTAGAATTCCAACTTGCTTTTTTCTCCTACTTTCTTCTATTTTTTTGTTCATGTCCAGTTGAAGAACAGAGAATCCTCTGACTTAGAATGTGTTCTCTTTTGAAAGAGATGGCCTTTACATGGTAATTTTATTCCTTCAACAGCAGACAGCAAAAAAAGTACATATTAGTAACAATACTTTAGGTGTTTTTTAGTATACCAGTAGAGTAATGTAGTCTACCAATGGCCTAATAAACAGCAAGGAACTCTTCAACATAGCAAATTTCTTCCTCCATAAGGGTTAATATTTGTTCATGGACTCAACAATGGAAACATATATAGAAGGATGTGCTAAGCTGTTCAGTTTTCATAGCAAGAAAGGACAAGCAGAAGGGATGTTATTCTAGCCCTGCTATCAAGAGATTTGCAACTGATGGGGGAAAGGAGACAGTTATACACCTTGAAATGCATTTGTCTATTCAATCAACAAATACTTATTATTCATCAGCTATATTCCAAATAAATTTCTAGAGTCTGAAGAGGACAATACTGACCAAGCCAGAAAATACAGCTTACTTACTTTTAATTGAGGGAAGAGACAGATAAACAAAGGAACAACTACAGAGAGGGAGACAGTCCTTAGTAAATGCCAAAAAGGTGAAGGGCTACATGGTGACTGTGGCATGGGCGGGAATGAAAATTTTTAGACGTGGTAGTTGCACAAGTCTCTGCCTAGGAAATGGTTTGTTATGCACAGATTGGGTGATGAGAAAGAGCCAGTCATTGAAAGGTCTGATTACAGTGTCCCAGCAGAAGAAATAGCAAGGAGAAAGGCCTGGATTTGGAAAAAGAGACATTGAGGAATCTCAACAAACTGAGGAATGGAAAGGAAGTGTAGCTGGAGCTCACTGCTGTGCGTGCGGCCTGAGGCTGGGGAGGCAGTCCGGTGTGGTGTGCACTCTCAGTAATGGGGGAGGCTCCGTCCACAGTAGCTCCCCAGTCATTTCAGCTAATATCTCATGTCACACTCAGATGCCTCGGTTTTATGAGCTGAGGTATTAGAATAATAATGTTGTATATCTCTTATAAAACCATTCCCTTTCTATTGATTTTTGTCCACAGAGATCATCACGGTGCTATTATGATTTCCATCTAGTACTTATTCGTCTTTACTGGTTTGTGAAACGATCAATATTCTTTGTCCAGAAAGCAGAAGCCATCTTTATTTCTCTTATCTCTCTTTGGTAAGCATGTGAAAAAGATCACTCTTGTATTGGGAAACAAACAAATGGCAGTGGAAGTACAAGTAATCATATCGTGTTTCTCTGCTCTGGACTGGAGAATTGCATTGCTTATTCAAAACAATCATTTTCTGCTTTCAGCTACCACTTTGTATCACATAAGCATTCCAGATGGCCCACCACAGTCAGGCTGCGCCCCTGAAGGCAGGGCTGCAGCCTGTGTCGCTGCTGCGCTGGGAGCAAACAGCTGCCCTTTAAACCCAGCAAGATGGGATCCAGTTTCTGTCTCAGTGTCACTCTGAAGTCCTCATGTTAAAAGTTGACCATTTATCTAAATATATTTCCATCACAGGTATCTGCTTCCTTTGTAAACACACATTATAATTGCTCATAGGCATTATATAACTTATAAATCTTACTGTGTGATTAAAAGTGAATTATTTTCCCTCATGCTATAATTACGTTTAGAAATCATTTCAAAGTCGTGTGCTCACTTATTTTCTTTTTTTTTTTTTTGACAGGCAGAGTGGACAGTGAGAGAGAGAGAGACAGAGAGAAAGGTCTTCCTTTGCTGTTGGTTCACCCTCCAATGGCCACCACGGCCAGTGCGCTGCGGCCAGCACATCGCGCTGATCAGAAGGCAGGAGCCAGGTGCTTCTCCTGGTCTCCCATGGGGTGCAGGGCCCAAGCACTTGGGCCATCCTCCACTGTACTCCCGGGCCATAGCTGAGAGCTGGCCTGGAAGAGGGGCAACCAGGACAGAATCCGGCGCCCCGACCAGGACTAGAACCTGGTGTGCTGGCGCCGCAAGGCGGAGGATTAGCCTACTGAGCCACGGCACCAGCCGTGCTCACTTATTTCTAAGGATTCATAAGTATTGTTCTGTAAGTTTCCATCTAATTATCTTTACTAGGTACTAAATAATTCAGTACATATGCTTCCTAGACTATCCAATGAAAACCCTTTTCCTTGCTAAGCAAAGGAATTCAGATTTAGTCTGCAGAAAAAAAATGGGAAATTTACATAATTTATTTGAAGAATCTGATTTAGAAGACTTACTGGAGGTGAAAAAGCATTGAAGGTGGAAGATATTAGTGAGAATCGAGTTCCTGATAGGACATACTGACAGTCCGAGGTAAAGAAGTGTTGTTAGAAATGGAGATGAATGAACATAAATATGAACAATTCAGGAAGAAAACAGTTTGAACTGATAAATAATTGCACCTGGCCTGTTAAGGAACGAAGTGTTTTATGGTGAATTATTGTTTTTTGCCTTGAGGAAAAAAAGGATATGTAGTGACTGTCACTAAGAGAAAAAGGGCAGATATTAGGTGACAGAGTGATTGCAAGGATTTTTTTTTTTTTAACATCATTAAATTTGGCATGGCTGTAACATCCAGGTTTTGGATTAAGCCAAGTTAAATTGGCTTAATTTCAACAGAATTGTTGTAGTGTTTGTCAAATAAAATATAGAGGCATATCTCCAAGCAACAGTATTTTATTTGGGGATAATCTAAGGTTAGGATTGCAATTCAGGATGCACACATAGGTCAGAAGGACCTCTGGTGTGTCAGAAGAATGAAGGAAAGGTTAGGGTTTAATTTCAAAAGAAAAACTGTACCTAAGTTGTTGTGAAAGAAAGTTGATTTTTGCCAGTGGTGGTGAGGAACTGGAAAACTCTGATTAGTGAACGGCAGGCAGTTGCTAGGTAAAATTTGTCATTTTGAAGTCATGGCAGGCTATATTGCTGGATTGGGCTCTTGAGAGTGTCAGGTGAGTGTCTGTGTAAGAAGTTGGTTCTCCTTGTGCTGCTAGCTGTCCTCTATCTTGTAACAATTTGCAGTTCCTGAGTCAAGTCAAGGTCACAGCTTAAGTGGGATACACTCTATTAGTGATTCTGGTCAGCACAGTTATGCTTTTGTGTTAGGTTAACAACACTCATGAGCTTGGCACAGGATGAAATGGGAAAGTAGGTATTTTCGGAAAAGTGAGGCAGCATGGATGCAATGACTGTGGAGTCTATGCTGGATAAAAAAGAAGCTTAGAGAACAGTGGACAGAAGAAGGGGAAAGCAAAGTGCAGGAGGTCAGACTAATGTCTGACAATAACAAGAAAGTAAGAAAACTCAAAAATAAAAGATTGGTTTAGAAATGAAATCTAAGTTTAAGAAATAAAGGAAGCAAGCATGATGGTGAGGCACGGTAGACTACACAGTCCACAATGTACCGCTTTGGCTTTGGGACTACTTTGGGCTAAGGACACTTGAGGGACAGCAGGTGCACAAAAGGCATTCTGAAATCCCCATTTCTTATGAAAACAGAAAATTAAAAAAAAAAAAAAAACTTTCGTATGAACAATGCCCTACCTCTTTAGGACAAGGGAAAAATTCCTCAACAGACAGTCTTTGCGAGAGAATTCTGTACTAACTCGCTAAAATAATTTATTTAGCTTTACTTCCCTCACATCCTTTAGTTAATTTTACACAGTTGCCTCTCTTACTTTCTTGTTGTTCAAACTAACACAAAAGCATTTGGATCTTTTCACTTCTTAGATTCTTTATTTGCTTGTGAGGTTTCCATGTCATGTAAAATTTATATTCAATTTTATGCTTTTCTCTTGTTAATCTGTTTAGTGAAAATTTAACCTTCAGGCCTAGCTTTGGGACCCTAAAAGGGTAAAGGTAAAGTTTTGCTTCCTGTACAATGACAGAAGCTTGAACTTGGAAATGGTTGGATAAATAATACTGTAACGTTGTAACATCATAAATGTTGAGGATACAGCAAACTGTTGGTTAGTTGTTTCCAGAATTAATGCTGGATTTTGAGTGTGGACAGAGATTGGGAAGTATCCATTTCTGGATGAATATAGTTAATATCAGGACATTAGTAGAATACCACATGCACTTTAACAAAAGCACACGTAGAAGAAGGAGCCTGGAAATGATAAATGGTGTCTCAGAGAATACTTCTTTCACTTCCTGGAATTATGGTCTATAGAACTCTGTTTTCAAATGCTGATGACGGCAATATATGGCTGGAAATTAATCCAACATTGCTGCAAGGAACATGTACTTTGTTGCAGAGAACACACACATATATACCTGGTGGCACAGACATACATGTGTATATACATCTATGCACACACAGTATTTACATGATATAAAGGGTTCCCAGAACAGAATTTCCACTATTTAACTGTGTTATGCTATAATAATTTCTATTTTAATCTTTCCTACCCTGCTCTGTCCTATAGCATTACAGAAATACTGGTGGAAAAGCACTACTTGCTGTTTCAACATAGCAAACTGATCTTGAGTGTGAGAGGCACAGGAGTACATCGTCCTCTTGGACCAAATCAGCTTTCATGAAAAACAACTACGCAAAGAGGAAAGTCTTTGGATGCAAGAAAAACAGCATGGACTGTGAGAGATGCTTGCATTTTGAGTGGTAGCAAAAGAGAGAAGCACAGAAACTCAGCGCTGGAGGAAATAGGTTTGGGAGGGGGATGGCTCACATGGGGGGATGTGCTGAACTGCCAGGGGATGAACTGTGCTCTGGCACTCAGTGATGCTTCTGGATCTCAGAAGATCTTCGTCTATCAAAAGAGGTTGATTCTAATCCCAGTAAATAAAATAAAGAACTCAAGTTAGTTACACGTCATCTGATTTTGAGCTCTTCAGGACTGTGACTGACTGACATATAGGTGAATATGATCAAAAGGCCCCAGATATCTTCAAAAGCATGCAGATACCTAGACCTGTATGAAATTAGGATAAAAACTTAAATATGCAAGTACAGGACTGAGAAAATATGAAAGTGAGCTAGAGTTTTTAAAGAATTCAGGATCACTGTGGCCATTGTTACCACCACTAGAAAAAAACAAAAGCTTAGATTTACAGAGTGGTTCCTTTTTCAGCTACTGGCTCGCCACTATATATGTAATGTGTCATTCATTCCTCATAGAAGCTTTATAAGTATTATTATCATGGCCACTTACAGATGAGAAGACTGAATGACTTGCTGAGCCTACACAGCTCTTGTAACAATGGTGGTAGACAAGGCCTGATGGCTAAAGGCCATTCAGCATACAATATCACAACAGTTATGAATTTATGGTTTGTTGTAGGAAAGGAATGTAATATGCCAACAGCAGTAAAGTAAGTATACACATCACAGCCACAGGCAGAAAAGTGGTCTGGGAACCAGTGCCATCCATGCTCCTGTTATCCTCCTTCCACAAATTGTCCTAGAGTGATTGTTTTCTTTTCAATCAAGAACCACCAATGTGTGTACAGAACACCTTGGACACACAGAGAGAAAAATGGTTTCTGTCACCCTGCTGCTCATTCAGGCGTGTTTCTTGCTGAGCCTTGAGATGGAGATAGCGGCTGGCTCATCACCAAGATTAGCTACAAATTGTCAATTCACTGTTACCAATAAACAGTGCTGACAAGTGATACAGACCGCCTGAAAAAGCTTGGAGCCAGGATTACTGAACAAGACTATCATCAGTGTTTTGAGTCTCAATCAGTGCTGTGCAGTCACATTTACCATATTTCCATGAAATAACTCAGGCTAACTACAGGTCTACTAAAATTAACCTTCATAGGGTATCTAGGAATCAATAAATAATAAATTCTGGACTAGATTTCAGGGTTTTCTTTCCAAATAGCTAAGCTAATATGGTGCCACCACTGGATTTATAGTAATTTTGCCTTCGCTAATGTCAGATTTACTGGATTAGCTATACTTTGCCCTGAATGCCATACTCTGAAATGCAGATTTGTTCTAAATACAGGGAAACTTTTTTAAGGGTGACTTTGTTATACCCAGAAGCCACAATTTACCATGAATTATTCAAGAACTGGAGATGTTTAGCAATGAGAAAGAAGATTGAGAAAGATACTTCTTTATAATCTCTTTAAGGAAAGGAATTCTTTCCAAGGTAACTACTACACATTATCCCAGGAACTTTCCAACTTATGATTGAAATAGCACACTTTATTAGACCACAGTTGCAATAAGTATACTTGAAAGCTATAAGAAATAGAAAGAGCCTATTTTAGATAGAACTACAGATTTTATATTTCACAGTAATTTGTAAATTATATATAATAAAATATTTTATTTGAAGCAACATTTTCTAACAAAACTTTCTGCAATGAAAATGGTATGTATCTATAGTATTCTACATATGAGCTACAAGATACTTTCAGCTATTTAGCACCCTGAGGAATTGAATTTCAATTTTATATAATTCATTGAAAATTTAAAAGTCTCATGTGGTTAGTAGCTATCTATTCCATAGCACAGAATATTACTTTGACTTAAAAGTAAGACAGTTTGACCAGTTTAAAAAACTAAGTTACCATACAGGTATATATCTATGTGCGAGTGTGTTTGTGTGTTCATGAAATTGTTGCCAACTTGTGAGTTGTCTATTTTTAGGATGGTCAGTTAGGATAATAAGCAAATGTGAAAGTAACACACTTGCTGCTACAGCACAGACAAGAAGTAAAATAGAAAGATCCTGATTCCTCTGTGTTTCTTTCTTCCTACAGAATGGCACAAGGTGAAGGTCAGATGGCATAAAGCACAGGTAGGGGTAATTCTATTATTGCAAAGGAGTCTTGGGCCAAAGGCTCCTGCATTTTTATTGATCTAAGAAGTGGGGGTGGGGGTGGGGAGGATGATAGAGGGGTTTTGAGTAGAACAATAGTGATTTAGAGAACAATTGTGCCCCAGGCAGGGCTGCCCAAATAAAGATATCTTGGCACAGGAACCTGGAAGGTCCTTAGCCAAGGCCTTAATGAGGAGGTCATTAAAGGAAGGCTCCTGAGCTAGGAATGCAGATACATCTATGAGGATGGCTTGCTTAGGGAGCCTGAGTTCTTGACAGCAGCTATTAGTAGAGTTGGAAGTATCCATGTCTGTTATGGGAAAGGCAGCTCTCCCACAGGTACGATGTAAGGCAAAGATTTGTAATTGTCTGTGATCAGGCCTGAAATATCACACATATTACTTTTGCTTTTTTTCTTTCTGGAACTACTTGTGTCATAAATAAAAGCAATGCAGGCTCTTTGTATGCAAATCTATAAGATATTTTGAAGAATTCCAAATTATTTTTATATTATTGTTATTTTATTTTAGATCTTTGACCATTCTGGATTCATTTTAGCTTTAGCAATAAGGAAGTCCCATTTCTCTGTTAACATAAATGAATTTCTTTTTGAAGAAAGTATTTCTGCTTGATTTAACATACAGTCAACCACACTGCAAAGCACTGTTCAAATGTAAGCTGTTGGTGATGCTTTGTCTAAGAAATGGCTACAGCATTTCCTGTCTAAATTTTCCTCAGAAGCAGCTTCTTTCAATTTTCTACTAAAATACACATGAAAAATATTCAAATATATAAACCAAAAGTTAGGACAAAGAGAGAACCTATTACCACAGGTTGGAAAGACTTCCCCCAAACTCTAGGAACTGGGTGTAGAACTAGATTGTTGAAGGAAATGTACTTTCAGTGGTTCACATCTGATTGATTTATTTGTAATTATAAAAGACACTTTTTATTCTTCTTCTCCCTGTGTCTTGTTCTCTTTTTTCCTGAATAGATAAAGATGTTTACACCTCAAAAATCTGTGCAGCAATCAATGTGAGGCAGTGCTGGTGGTGCTCTGTGCTCCCTTTCAAGGGAGTCTGAGAGCAACACACACCAACACCAATCAGTTTTTTGTTTTATACAATAACACTTTAATGTTCATAAAGCAACTGGACAAAAAGGAATAAAAAGGATGGGTCAGAGATATATTGCACCGTGGGAAGCAGAGTCTCCACAATCAACTACCAACAAGGGAAGTAGAAAGACAAGCACTCCAGCAGACTGTGCATTGCAAATTTCTGCTTTTCCTCTTAAGCTTCAGTTCAGAGCTAACCTCAGTATATGTACACTAAAAAAAAATCTAGTGAGGGTTGGGCAAGGAGTTATATTCACTAACCTACTGCCTAACTAGAACACTTAGGGGAAGAAAAGAAAAATCCATATACCCACTTTTTGGTGGCAGCAAACAATGAGTCTAGCTAAATCTCTCCCTAATTTTGGAGTTAGTAAACAATCATATATATACGGGCATCACATGTTCTATAAAAAATACCATAGATTAAACTAATATTATCCTAAAGTTTCGCTAAAAAACTAATGGCGCTTTGACAGGCCAATGAAAAGTAACAAAATAATTTGCAACAGTCAGTGTTAAAAAATAACGTTAATCTGGGTTACACAGTGGTACAAATAAATATTGCCAGAGCAAGCTGAAATTAAATTCAACAAGATAAGGAAAAATTGAGGAGGGTAAGGAAAGGAAATGTTAGGCTGAAGAGAGCCTGAAAATGGAATTGCAAGATTATGATCTGCATCAGAGGCACAGAAGATTAAAATTGACATTACAGTCAGTCAGTGACAAGAAGGCAAAATTGTCCCTGAGAAAGAAGAGGGAAAAGGACAAATACATGAAATGCAGATGGAACAGCTAAGCAGTGTAGAGGTCACAGAACTTATTATTTCAGTGTGATCTCTGTACCTAATTCATTTGCTTATTGTGATATTGGATATGGAATTTGAAGAAAAGTAAGACCTAAGAATCCAAGGTTTTGTCTTGAATTATGGAGGGATGATCCAGCAAATGTGCTAGATTGTGACAGGTGTGTGTGTGTGTGTGTGTGTGTGTGTGTGTGTGTTTCTATGTAGTACGGATAGAGAGCAAGAGTTCTGTTTGTGAGGATTGTAGAATTTACAATTTATGCTAATATTGAGATTTCTCTCATATATTAAAGTTGGAAGGTATATGGCCTATTGCATATGTGCCCTTAGTGTTCAGAGGAGCACTCTCAGCTAGAGACAGATTTGTGAGTTTTTAATAGATTAAAAATCCAAGAAGAAAATAATATGTAATCTACAAAGAAGTAAAATTTAAGCCATTTTAAGCATGCCTCCTATGCATTATTAAGTAACAAAAGCTACTGGAGGTATTACTTTAGAATATGGAAATAAAAATATTGTGTATATTGCTTTCTTATGAATATAATAATTATTAGGGAGGGGGGACCAAAATAGATCATAGGTAGTAAAGAGAAAAGGAGATAGGAAAAAAAGATAAAAAATGATCTCAGAATTTTTTCCCAAAGAAACCTTTTATTTAATGAATACAAATTTCATAAGTACAACTTTAGGAATATCGTGATTCTTCTCGCCATACTCACCCTCCCACCCCCACTCTTATCCCATTCCCAGTCTCATTCTCCATTAAAATTCAATTTCAATTAACTTTATACACAGAAGACCAACTGTATGATAAGGAAAGATTTCAACAATTTTCACACATACACACACACAAACTGTTTGAGAACAAGTTTTACAGTTAACTCTCATAATACAACTCATTGAGGATAGAAGTCCTGCATGGGAACTAAGTGCACAGTGACTCTTGTTGTTAATTTAACAATTAATACTCTTATGTATGACGTCAGTGATCACCTGAGGCTCTTGACTTGAGCTGCCAAGGTTATGGAAGCCTTTTGAATTCACAATCTCAGTATTTAGATAAGCCATAAGCAAAGTGGAAGTTCTCTCCTCCCTTCAGCGTCAGAATTTTAACACTGTTAGCCATAATATCAGCAGTTCATAATACTGGCTGGGACAAGAGGTCTAAATGAGAGTGACCTTGGAGTTGACAGCTTGAGAAGCATCACTAATAGGAGAGAAGAGGGTCTCTTACAGACATAGTGGTGGTGTGGCAGAAATAAGAAGGGAAAATTAAAATTCCTACCAAACAAAATAGAACAAGACTAGCAAGCCACCTTCCTCTCATCATTAATGATTACATTTGGTGAAACTACATATAAATATAATGGCAATAGAGAGCACTGGGGAGGTATCAACTTCATCCACAAATGCCTAGAAATAGAGAATCAGGAAAATTCCACACCAGCTTCTCAACAAAGGAAAGAGAAAATGTTTCAATTACCGGAAAAATTTCTAATTATCACAGAACAATCTCAAATGAATTAAATAGCTTCAGGAACCACTTAGATACATTTAAAAGGCAGACTTGAATTCAAAAATGAAACACAAAAATCAGCAAATACATAGAGTTGAAGTTCACCGAGATTAGATAGAGCTCAGGAAAGAAATTAAGAAAAAGTTTAAAAATCAGAATTGAAGTATAAAATTTAAAGTGAGGAACAAATTGAATGGATTTTTAAAAGGTATTAAAAAAAGTAGGAAAAGATTCATGAATATAAAATGTCAAAAAAAAATAAGGGGTGAGTGTTTGACCTACTTAAGACACCACTTATCTCCCATACTGGAGTGTCTTAGTTCAAGTGCAAGCTTTGCCTCCAAACCCAGATTCCTGCTAATGTGCATCTTAGAATGTGGCTGGTGATGGTTCAAATAGTTGGTACACTTCCACCCACTTGAGAGACCTAAATTAAGCTCCTGGCTCCTGGCTTCAAATTTGTCCAGGTCTGCTACTAGAAGTGAACTAGTGGACAGAGTTCTGTCTTTCTCTCTGGCTCTTTGCCTTTCAAAAAGTAAAATGAATACATAAAAATTAAAAAATAAGATCAATAATGACCAAGGAAAAAGTAATTGAAACAGAAGACATGCAAAGACTTTTGCATATATATAACTAGAATCTTTTTAGAAGAGTAACAAAGCAATGAAACTAAACTAATATTTATTTTTAAAAATTCAAGAATATTTTTCCAGTAAAAATAAAATCCATATTCAACATATTGGAAGAATCCATTGCACACTTGGAGAACTGAGCCAGAGTAATCACTCTGAGATGTATCTTGGTAAAATTATTAGTATTTAAAGAGAAATGATAACTTTTCAGAGCCTACTGATGAAATTGCCAAAATATTTATGAGTAAGAAATCAATATGGGCACAAGATATCTAAGAACACATCATCTACTGCAAGGCAAGAGTGGAGAAGCATTTTCAAAAAACTCAAGAAAAAAATAGTGTGGGCCAAGGATTGTATATCTAGCCAATCTCTTCTTCAAGTATTTCATGTATTTCGTCCTCCAATGAAATGTGTTCTCAGATGAACTCCATAGTGTAAAACCTCAGTTCATGGGAACTATTTAATACACTAAATTTTAAGTCCAAGTGTAAAATGGGACTGAAGACATGATAGAAGATTAATATATAAGCACATTTCTGACAATGTAGAAAGAATGCAAGTGAAAAATGAGAGAAAAGAAAAAGAAAGACAAACAGAATATGAACATTAATTGTTACATAAATAATTGGTAGATATCAAAGAATGCCGCTTAAAAACTTACAATTCAGATAGAAGTCAGATGAAACTTATAAATACGGGGCCAAGGGCACTATTAAAGGCAAAAATACACAGGTGATTACCACTTTAAAATATATAAGCCTTCCTAAATAACAAAGTAAAGAAAACACATCATGTTGAGGGATAACACTGTAAATATAATATACTGCACATCATAATAGAAATAAAGTAATATAGCAGATTTGAGACAAAACACTTAGTCATACATATAATTATCAGTGGATTTAACT